CTGCCAAAACTTTGCTTTTGTACAAAGCCAGATTACTGTACAAGAGAGGTTAGTATCCAGCTGGATGAGGCTTTATATACAATACAAAATAATTAGTATCTTCCTAGAATTGCCAGCTGGAAAGCAGTCAAATCATTAGGGCTAGACAAGCTGCTGTAAGAAGAAAAGCAGTTAGCAATGGTAGTAGGAACAGCACTCATTCTGAGAAAGGATCAAGCCACGGGAGGCAGCAGAGGCCAAGTGGCAGAGACAGGCACAATTTCAGATTTGTGGAATACCGAGTAGATGACAAAATAATCAAGGGGCAGGTGGCAAAGAATGAAGGCTCCAGGCGAGTTCAGGAAGAAAGTGCTTTGTTCACAAATAAACTTGGGAGCCTTGATCGATCAAGCTCCTTGGCTTGGTCAGCTGAGCATGATGCTAGGGGCCCTGGTCCATACAAGTGCTTTCTTGTACTAGCTGAGCTAAGATGTTTGGCTACATCATGGTTTTCTAGCAGGTGTGGTTTACCAGGGGTGTTGAGGCAGCTGCACTGTCAAAAAACTGTGTTATAGAAAGATACCTACTTTCTTAGGGGACAGGCATACAGACCACAGGTAAAGCAAGAGCTAGACATGCAGCTGGTCAGCTGCTCCATGGCGACTGCCCCCATGGATCAAAACTACCTGAGAACAGCTTGCCCCTCCTACTGAAGGCTAAGCTACCACAGGGCAGCTCCTGTTTATGTCAGAGTGTGCACAGTGGGCAGTTACCCAGGAAGAGCAGATGCACATCCCCACCTTTTTTTCACACTAACGTCTTGACATGCCTGTGATATTAAAAGTATACAAAGCTAGCATGGTGCTTCCCTAAGTCTGCTGGTTTACACCTCTCTATACCAGGGTCAGGCCCTCTCGCATGTCACCTCTGCAAGTTCAGCTCTTGTTGCTTTCCACTAACATCAGCTGCTCCCAGTAAGCAGAACTTGTGGCAAGGGGAATCAGCTCCCGCTGCCAACTGCTGCTGATTTTGCTCACCAGTCGGCAGCAGGGGAATGAAGAGGTGATGGCTGAAGTAGGGGAGGGCACATGGGCAGAATCAGCAGCTGTAATTCATGTGCATTTGCCTCTGCCTCCCTCCCCCCAGTACACACACACACTCTGGGAAGCACTCCTCTAGCATACGAAGAAGCTAAAATAGCAGAAAGCACCTTTGTACCAATGTGCATGTCCACGATGGAGGTGGTTTTACTCACCTATAGTTACAGCAGTACAAAACTACTATATTTACCCAAATCCAAGACTAATTGAAATTTAAGATGACTGTAATAATTAAATTTATCATTTTCCATGTCTAAAATATTATTATTGGAGGGTCATCTTAAATTTGCCCTCCCTATGGCTGCCTTAGGGAAAGCAGTGGTAGGGATGGGGAACAGCAGGACAGCAAGCAGCTTCCCGTACACTGATTACGTCTCCCCCTGCATCCAGGCCCCTGGTTCTTGCCCCCGGCCACCTGTATTCTTGGCCACTTGCCCCCACTCCCCAATTCCAGGCATGCTGCCCTGGCCACTTGCTCCCCCCTGCATCCTGATCCTCCCACTGCTGCTTACCCAGTTTGGTGGCTCTGGTTCTGGCTTTGGTCTAGGACACAGAGCACATGGTAGCTCTGGCCCTAGCCAGACTGCAGTAACTGTGGCAGCTCCAGGTCCAGCTCCAGCCCCACCCCAGACACAGGTCAGGGTCAGAGCTAAAGCAGTTCTCCCAGTGTCCCATCCCTCCCTCACACACCATGCAGTATGCCCTATGCTAGGGCCACAACAGCCCCCTAGCCTGGGCTGGTACCTGACTCTGAGGTGAGGTTTCTTTTCCTCTTCCCCCTACATGTTGAATGGGGAAAAAAAATCTACTCAATACCCTACAACTGTCTTTTTCTTGTGGTTTCGAGAAAAAGACAGTACATGTGAACAAGTCTTTTCTTGTGTTTGATTTGGCCTACATGGACATACTTAACTGAAGCAATTTCCAAAACAAATTACTGTCCTAGTGGAAATAATGATTTGTCATAATGTACCTGCTGCAGGGGTTCACTTACAAAATCTGGAGTCGCAGAATTTATTATTGTACAAACTGGATTATTGTACATAAATGCTTTGCATCCAGAGGGATGGAAATTTATATCAAATTCAGGAGAATAAAGCTCCATCTTCCTAGTATTGCCATCTGGCAACTTAACAATAGAAGCATTGTTAAATATTTATCAGATTTTTGGAAACCACAGGTAAGACAACAAAAAAAAGGGATACAGAATAAATATCCAAAATATTATAATGCTGTTATATCAATGGTAGGCTATCATTTCAAAAACCAGATACAGTGTTGTTTGCCCCACTCAGAAGACTCTGCAGAATTACAGGAGAAACCTAAAAAACCTGAGAGAATACAACAATATTAGAATAGAGAAAAAAATCATATTGCAAGACATAATGAAGAGGATTGCTGATCTTAGAAAGAAGACATGAAGAAAGAAGAATAAGAAGTGATATGACAACATAGTGAATGGTAGCAGGAAGGTTCATCAAGAACTTCCATTGTTCTTATGTCATAAATGCAAGAACAAGAGATATTTGATTTAAAACGTGATAAATTCTGAACTGATAAAAAGAGAGACCTTCTGATTCAAACACTTGATCAGACAGACTAAAGAACTCACCGTCACAAGTTGTATGTTACTCAGACAGTGATTAAGCAAGCAAAGGGGGACTGGGTGTTTGTATGGCTTGGAATATCCAGAAATCATAGTTAATGCAAAAAACACATTTTGCAGTAGACAAAACGTCATACTTCAGGTTTTAGCTAATTAAGATATTCTGCACCTTCATGGGGGCACGTTGTCCCACATCTCACTGCTGCGAATTTCTTTGTATGGCTGTCCTCAGAGACAGCTATTATTGATTACAGTGGGTGGCAGGATAATAAATTAGAAAGACCAAAGGCAGAAAGGCATCTCCTGCATTCCTAATGAAGAACTCATAGCAGACAAGAAGTTAAACATGTTATCCCACTGAAAAGCATAAACATAAAATAGTAATATTTTTAGTTTAAGTCCAACATTTACTTTTCCACAGCCTTTGGCACCATCTGGCTCAATCGTGCAGTCCATGATGAGGAACAATGTCTAAGGAAGCCATAGAGAGTTTCCCCTGCATAAATGACCGCAGGCAAGGCTGGCTTATGGCAAGGCACGTTGACAAACTCAGCAACAAGGTCCCCATTCCAGAGGATTTACCTATATTTAGCTTTTTAAATAGCTGATTTAATCCCTTCAAATCAAAAAAAGATTTTCACATCAACTCCTTGAAGCTCCATTAACTTGCTACATGTAGAGCCTGGAAAGGGATTACACTTATCTCATGTTAGAATCACTCTCAACATGTGAAGTTTCAGATATTTAAAAAAGTTCACTGAAAGCTCCCCTCAGGATTGAGAGAGAAGTGTCCTACTCTGTTGTCATGCTAGCAACATTTCTCATTTTTTTGTGCTTGCAACTAGGCTATTAACTATGTGTTTGCCCTTTGCCTCATAATGGGTGCAACTGCACATGCGATAAATGTGCACAAGTAAACTCTGGAGTTTATCGCTCCACAGTTTTTGCTCTGAGGAACGCCGTTTGAATATGTGCTCAGGAACAACAACAACCCCCCCCCCCCCCCCCAATAAATAAATAAAAAAAATTGGAGCATATTGTTCTGGAGTTTGTCTTGTGCACAGCATGTAGAACCTGGTTGGAGCAGCCCTGGGCTTAACCCACATCTATACCATCAGTTCATGAAGTCTACAAATTCACAGCTACAGGAGTCTGGAGAATTATTGTATTCTGAATATATATGGGTCCCAAACCAAGATTTTTATTTATTTATTTATTACTATTTGCACTTTTTTTTTTTTTTTTTTTTTTTAAACTGAAAGATAAATGTTTTTACTGTCATTTAAAAAAAAAAAAATCTTGGACTGGTAGCCCTGTGCAACTACAGCAGTAGCTTTACAGCCTGCTGCCCCCACCATAGGGGTTCCCTACATACCTCATGTTGACACCACTGACTGCACCCAGCACCCTGCTGCCCCCTCTAGCTCACCTTCTAGCCCTACCTCCACCCATTTCACTCCCCCAGTCCTGGCATGGACCCTCACCCACTGGCTCTCCCCTTCCTAGCCCACTGCCACCACGACAGATCTGGCACACAAAATAGCTAGCCCTTTGTGTGCCATGCAAGGTCACCAGCGTTGTACAGTAGCATCATATTGTTTAGATAAGTTGGTCTTGTGTTCGAGTATGAAGTTGTTTTTTGTTGTTACGCTTCTTTTTGGGGGAAGGAAACCCATCAGGGCATGGATTCTTGGTTCAAAAGCTAGGGTTACAGCTGCTAAGAGATGCAGAGCAGGGGTAGGGTAAGAGCTACAGAGCCAGAGTTAGGAGTACTAGTCTTGCGTGGCTTGATAGGACTCTCTGGCTGGATTGCGAAAGGCACCACACGTGTTGTATACTAAACTGTTCATGGCACTGCTAATTTGCAGCACTGGGACAAAATTTACTACTGGGATTTCCTGGTAGCACCCCCAACCAAACCCCCCCTCAAAACCTAAAGACAAAAGCAGTGTAAAGCATACCAGAGTGGTACAAGCTGGGACAAATGTTAAGACAGGGGAGTAGGCAGCCTTGTGGAGCCCCCAAGCTGAGGCAGCCTGCATCCCAGCCAGCCACTCCCTGGCTGGCTGGGGTGCAACGTGCCTCAAGACGGGGGAGCAGGCAGCCCCAGGTCTCCGTGTGCCTCAGCACGGGGGCTATGCTGTGAAGTCCTCTACCAAGGCATGTGGAGCCCCTGTGCTGAGGCACACTGCACCTCAGCCAGCTGCTCTGCAGAGTACATTTCCAGGTACTCTACCTTAAATGGTCATTCATAATTTTCCCCTGCAAAAAGAATATGCAAGACAGAATGAAGACAAAAAATATCTTAAGCCAATTTATTCATGACCATGGTGTTGGACAGCAGTACCGAGTCAGCATGTTTCTCTAGTAAGAATTTATAAATCTGGAAATCATGGTGGGGCAGGGGCGGGGGGAAATGACCACTTTCTATTCACAAAAAGTTACTTGAACTTTACTTTTTCCACAATTAATTTAAGCTATTTTGGTATAAAGTTAAACAGTGGTATTAAATACTTCAAAAAAAAAAAATATATATATATATATATCTGCAACAGCAATTGGAAGCAAAGCTAGTCTCATTTACTCAATTGAAACAGCAGTTGAAATGTGATCTAGAAAGAGGCCCAATGTGTCAAAAGCAGCAAAATCAACACTGTATGCAGAAACAGAGGTATACCACTGGAAAGGCAACACTGAAATTTATGATGCCCAAGTTTGTTACTTACTGCTTAGATTTTTCTAATGTCAGAATTATATTTGAAGACTTAAGATGTAATTTTTGGCAAAAATAATCCCACTCCTACCCAGAAGCCTGGTTTCTCGGGTGTGCACTGCTTTTGATTTGTGTTCTTCACAGTGCTAGTACTACATTGATCCCTGGTTGGGGGGTGGGGAAAGATCATCAATGAATGAGTAAATCTAAGAATTGTGTAAAAAACCAAAAAACTGATTACTTTTGCTGGCTGATAATTCAGCTTTCCCTTTTATAAGAGACTACTAAAAGATACCTCTGTGCAAAATGAAAACCAGAAGCCTTGATTGCTATACCCAAATGCTAGGTATTTACAGAAAGTGTTTAGCATACAGAGTACATCCATACAGCACAAGGATTTGTGAATAGTGTTTGGGCATGGTCATTTTTTGTATTTTCACCTGTACACAAAACTAATTTCCAATTATATAAAAAATAACATTACATACATGCACCAGTGGAAAAATGTTTTCCTTCACAATCTTTTAAAAAAAGATTACATTTTCAAATTACATTGCACTTGATAAAAAGGAGTATCATATGCAGTTAACATTAAATATACACTGTACAGATGAGAATTTCTAGTCAGCTCCAGTACTCTATATTTTCTATTAGTTTTTCATTTATAGCTTAAAGGAAGAAAAATACTGTTGTTAAAGATAACTGCTTTCCTTAGACAGACAAGAAGAATCTTTTACACACAAAGAATCCACACTCCCTTCAGCTCCTAGTATATTTAAACACAAAATTTGTCATCGATTATCTTGAAAGTCTCCACATTTGTCTTCTTGTCAATTAGGCAAGAGGATATCTATGTTCCAGTGAAACAACTATACAGAAACATTTTCTATGCTCTACCACAGTTGAAACTGTCAATTTATCCAGGATCTTTATGCAAATAAATTAATATCTTTTCAATTTTCCTGTGCTAAATTAGGTATTTAGTTTAAGCTTAATTATACAAAAGTTAATTTAAAAAAAAAAAAAAAATGACAACTCAATTTAAGTGAATGGTATTTGTAGATGCCAAAGTTTGTATATCCCCAAACCTGGATCCTGGCTTGTGAACTGCCTATTCTGGGATACACTGTTAAGCAAAAACAGATTAATTCAATTCAGAGGCAGACTTCGGTATTCATTCTACACCAGATGAAAATCAGTAATGGCAACCTCAATGAAACAATTTCATTTGGAGTGGCCCTTTTTGTGGACAGACACCAGCAATATCCTCAAATTTTGCAAATAATAATCCAAGTACTCTAAAATCAGGATGAAAAAAAGGGCATGCAGTACTGGCCAACAAGGGTATATTGTGGATCAATTTAACTGTAACTTATCAGCTGTTAAGGAATAAGGACTTTTCCTGTGACCAGCATGCATGCATAAAATTGGTCTTTCAAAAGAACATGAACCAGCAAAATACAAAAGTGGTTTTCTCCAAAGAAGCTGATTCTTCCTACCTTCTTACAAGAGAAATTTATAGGACATAGCATTTTAAGTATATCTTATTGATGATCACCTATGCACATACAAGAGACTAAGCAACTTAATGTTTAATCAAATATTAAACAATGTTTGCAGACATCAAATCAGCAGATACTAGTGACAATGTCTGGTACTGATGATGTACTGAGTGTTTTTAAAAAGTATACACCAATAAAGATATTCTGTCTAATGGCTACTAAATAAAAACATATCATTGGCAACCATCTATTAATATAACAACTGTTGGAAAAAATGACTGTTTTATAAGTTCTTATAGTGCATTATTATAGCTCTTCATAGTGCATTATAAAATAACAAGGTCCTAGACATCAGGATAGGAATGCCTCTACAGTTATCAGACAGCTTAAAATTCTTTTCATGTCCACTTTCAAAACAAAGTTAGGGCTTTCCAAAGTGTCCATTCAAAGGCTGCCGGAATAATTAGAAACGGGGAAAGACGAGGAAGAGCAGAGTAGTTTATTTCATGTTTCAAGTCACTCTTGGGATGTCATTCAAGGACCAGGCAACGGATTGGTTTGTAAGTGATCTAGTCATTCAGGCAGTACCGTCAGATGTGGAGATATAACTCAATTCTCTTCACAAACTGGCTGCATTCTGATAATCCATTACATGGTCTCATTTATTAGTACCTTAAATAGTAAAGATTAAGGATAAGTAACATAGAATGCATCATAAAACATCTCTCTAAAACCTGGAATAATTCAGTTATAAATAGAAGAAATTCAACATGAGAATGACTGGATTTCAACCAACACTAGAGGGTATATATAATTAGGTAGTCAACCTGGCAAATACATATGGCTGTAACTTTGCATTTCTCAAGGTACTGGGTACATCTCCTCATTCGACTACATGGTGGGGGAGAGGAGAGAAGACACAAATTAATATGGGTAAGTCTTTAGCAAGTGGAAGATTTCAAAGCAGGAGCCATTTAACTTTGTGGAAGGTGGGATCAACTTTCAAAAAAAGTTCGGGAAATATAATGGAGTTGTATAGTGGTTTAGCCATCCCCATAAGCCAACTTTTTGCAATTTTGCAGCCACCTCTATGGTTGCATGCAGTAGCCTATAACACTGAAAAAATTAAGAAACAAAAAGGAGGAATGTACCATCTTTATGGAGATAGCAGGGAAATTTAGGTAGACAGATTTCTGACATGTCTTGGAATAAGGCCTCATCACCAGAACCCATATCTTTTTCACTGGGAATCTTGATAACAAGAGAGAGAGAGAGAGCTTATCTACCCGATACATCTTTCAGACGAGGCAATGTGAGCAGCAAAACATCCATACACCATGCTGTGGCATGGCATCAATTCAGAGAGTCACTTTCCACCAAAAAAAGAGTCACTGAAGAAAAGAAACTCAGTTCATCTCCAAACAGAATTTTTGTTTCAGATTTTCCCCATCAAGTGACCAGTCCCAAACCCACTTAAGCTAGAACAATGTCTTATGAGATCATAACACGTGGATCTCTGCATGCTTCATATATTTATTTTTTTTTTTTTTGGGGGGGGGGGGGGGGAACACCATAACTGTTTGTTAGATATAACCATCAGGGGTTTTTCTCCCCAGAGTAACAATCATGCTCCATCAGAGGCTCTTCACTAGAAATAAGCTAGTCATTTCTATTCAACTTTTGATAGAGCAAGCTGCAGCAATGAACAAAACTATTACTATGGCAGCTTCCTTATTAAGTATTGCTGCACTAGTGCTTGCCATACTGTAACAGCACGGAGAAAGACTAACATTACATGGTTAACAATTGCTTTGTTGCTGTACAGGGATTAGTGTATATAGGATGGCAGAATAATTCAGGACTGAATTCAGCTAGCCAAATTATCTTTTAATTGACACTGCAGCTCCAAAGAAGTCATCAAAAAAACAACGAGTCAATGGGATTTCTCTGCTACTCTTTTTTTGTGTAGAATTTGGCTAGCTGGTCTGGTTTTAAGGTGTGTATGCTATAAAAGGAAAGTCCTTCCCAATTAATTCCTTCTTTACCTTCTCATTTTGATAACTGGTTGAAGTTTTTGATTTTTTTCCTCCTAAGCAAATGGAGGGAAACATACTAAATACACTAAAAAGTACTGATGTATACTTGCCTTCACTTCTTTTAATAGTGAGGTTTCTAGGTTTGTCTGAAAGCTGTAGTGATTCAGACTATTCTCCCCACACATTTTTCCCTGTAGAGGTCAGAAGAGAGCTGACAAGTCTTAGTGAGAGGGGACAAATTTGATTTTGTGCAGAAGCTCAGATATACACTTAGGTTAACAGATGCACTGTTTTTTACTTAGAGTAAACCAGAATGATCAAATAAAGAGGTCAATGCTTTCCCCATGTGGTCAAGGATTGGTACCGTAATTCAAAATTTCCTCATTTGACCTGCTAAAGGTTTGCCCACTTTCACATAATAGTTATTTATAAGAGCATCTACATGTGCCAATTTAAGGTGCATTAGCCATTTTTAAGGTGCATTAAGGGTGCGGGTCTACATGTGCACATCCTTAATTCACCTTAGAAATGGTGATTTTAGGCTATTGCTTCCTCAGGGGGAATGTGCAGAAGTCATCATCTTCACTTCCAACTATGTTACAGAGTTAGTAAATAAGTAAGTCATTCTAAACATTTTTTACCAAAGCTTTCTATAAGTTCAGGCACATGCAGTCTTTAAGCACCATGCAAGGATAAGCAGAATTGAACAGAAGAAATAGAGACTGAATGAACAGAAACATTTCTAACCACCAGAACAATGGTCTAGAGTTATTAGAAATCTATTAGTGTTTTAGTAAATTTTCAGAAGCACATGATGCTTAAGATTAAAAGCATCTGCTTTAGGCTGAAAACGTTTGTTTTTTTTTAAAGCCCAAAGCTCAAACAAGGGATGTGGGTCTCTACGTTAATTATTTTTTCTTACAATGTGTAACTACAACATTCTTTTGCATTTCTGCTATTTTAAACTTTGTGAGTCTACAGTAACAATTTTTTTAAAGTGATAAAACTGACAATAAATCCTTACTGCACATGCACACTGTCTCTTCCCTTAGAATGGGTTATTGTGCTGTTTCCTATTCACACAAATAGACACATCTAGTTAGTTATAATGGAGAATTTACATAGGCACTTAGAGAACACAAAGTGTAGAAAGAGTATAATAAAGAGTCCTATAGATGTAGCAAATTCTCCACGGTTATTTCCTATATCTCTTAAAAACTGATAAAAACAAAATTTGCCCTCTTGTAGCTTTAAGCCACACACTCATCATAATTTATATGAAAGTCCAGGATGAGGGCTAGAACTTGTATTTTTAAATTGTGGCATATTGCAGATGTTATGATTCTCTGTTAACATGCTCTATACTGCATCTGATGTATCATTCCAATAACCAAACATTTCTGGACTATATATTACAACATTTTATGCACTTTGTGTAGAATTCTGCATCAAAGTTTATGGAACAGGGCATGAGTTTCAGGCAGTTATTTTTTGCTCTGTACTTCCTTAGGTACAGATGGTCTAATTCAAATCCGTAACATTTCTCCATATGCATGGGCAACAAAGATCACTGAAAACCTTCTTGCCAAGAACGAAAATGAAAAACAAATACATTTAACTAGTGTAGAAATCTTTTAGAAGGATCTAGTTCAACTAACCTGAGATGTACTTTGCTCCGATAAACATTAGCATGCTACTCATTATATAAAAACCCAAAGGCAGACTACAGAAGATACTAGTGTCACCTGAAGTCATCCAGGAGAAGGTGTTTCCAGTCAAACAAATCAAAAGAGAAATATATAAATTGCAAGATTTGTGTTAAGAATCATATGAATAGCAAAGAATAGTAACATCTGCAAAAAATGTTATCAAAAGTTCTTCACCCGTCCACCCACCATAATTAAAGATAGGCCCAAACATCTCCAACTTTCAGGGTTATGTTGGCAGAAACCATTTCTAATATTACCTAGCATCCAAATGCTCACAAAAGACAGAATGCAAGCAGCAAAAATTCCAAAACAAGAGTTAAAGCAAATATTTTTCCCAATGGTAAAAGGAAACACTCAAGTAAGTATATGATTTTTTACAAAAGTTTGCCTATCACTTCAGGTTAAAAAAAAAAGTAAATAGATTTTGGGGGCTGAGAGATTTTCAATACCGTTGTTGAAATAAACAGTTTAAACATATGTCACTAGAGGCCAGGGCATTTCGGATGCTTAACAGTTTCAAAAGACAGTTTAAATCATGACTGATGGTAGTTTAGTCAAAAATCAACTTTAGTTGCATGCACTCACATTATGAATATGCTTTTCTGAATATTCAAGAGAGGATTTTTTTTTTGTATCCATTACCTCAAATGAGATGCATCTGTATTCTTTAAAAGAATCAGACTAGGTAATCAACTTAATCTTGTACTGAATTAACAAGATGTCTAGTTAATTTGTATTTAAACTGTCCTCAAGAGCCAAATAATTCTAGGAAGTCGAGCATTTTGTGTATTTTACTAGCAGCAATCAAAACTTGTTTATGTGGGGGCTTTTTGCCTGTTCATTTTGCAATTCCTCTCTCAACTCAAATACTTCAGTCCTGTTTTTTAGGCCTTGATCCAGGTGTGCAAAGTTATTTTCAAGTCAATACATGAGCATATTCCAAATTGTGTACTTGTGAAGGGAGGAAACTTTTGTTCAAACTTCAACTTGTCATTCCCACAGAACATGAAACAAAACCTGCTTAGTCCTTCAGGAGGATGTGTGTGTTGTTTCTTGTGCATAGCTTCACGTTCTAGGTGATTTCTGCATCGTACCTGTTAGCTTTTGGGTTAGAACTAATATAGGAAGGGCCCTCCCGGGTCATTTTGTCCAACCCCCTACAAAAATTAGGATGCATTATTCCTGTACTAGTCCAGGCAGAGGTTTAACTATCCTCTTCCTGAAATCCTCCTATAAAAAGAGATTCCACAACTCCCCTGGGCAGCTTGTTCTACTATTAACAGAACATTTACTTCTTAATATAAATCTGTTTTGCTGCAGATTTGCTACACTTCTGCTCTGCTGCACTTGTGGCCCATCCTCTTATGACAGCCTTTCAAATGCTTGAAAATTGCTAACATGCTTCCCCCTACTTCATCTCCTTCAACTAAACATTGCTAATTCTTCAAACTCCCCCCATACAGCTTGCATTCCAACCTCCTTATCACCTTTGTTGTTACCTGCCTCTGGATCCAGTCCAGTTTCTCCATATTCTTAAACCAAGGAGTCTAGAATTGCCCATAATGTTCTTACTAAAGCCTAACCAACACTGGAAAACTTTGCAAGGCTACAATCTACAGATCAACAACCTTCAAAGGTTGGGATCCTCATCCCTTTCTTTAGTTAGGCAGAAAAAATGGCAGCCCGAGACATTTTTCTTTTGTAACGTGGAGTTGCATCTCCCAGCTTTGCATTGTGCATACCTTCTTTTAATGCGGACTTCTTTACTGACTCAGATTTGAGGGAGCTGCAGTCTTCACTTGATATTTCCATTATTTATGTGACCTATGAGATGTTACCCACATCCTTATACCTGTTAACTAGCTGACCCAAATGGAGGGGTCATAGAAGAAAGTGATAAACAAAACAGTAGCAAATCACCAGGACCTGATGGTATTCACCCTAGGGTCCTGAAGGAGCTCAGATTGGAAATTGCCGATTTCCTAACTGCAGTAATGCAACCTATCACTAAAAACACTCTCGGTACCAGAGAGCTGGAGGGTTGCCAATGTGACACACATATTTAAAAAAAGGCTGGGGGGGGGGGTGTGTGCAGGGAATTATAGGCCAATGAGACTAACTTCTGTTCCAGGAAAACTGGTAGAAACAATAATAAAAATGACTTGTTCAGCATATGGATGAATGCGACTTTCTGGGGAAGAAACAACACAGCTTTATCACATGGAAATCGTGCCTCACCAATTTACTAGAGTTCTTTGAGGGTGTCAATAAGCAAGTGGATTGGGGCAATCTAGTTGACATAGTATATTTGGACTTCCAGAAAAGCTCTGACAGAGGCTCTTAACTACATTAGGTAGTCATGGGATTACAGGGAACATCCACTCATGGATTAGAAATTGGCTCAAAAGGTAGAAAGCAAAGGACAAGTATAAATGGTCACTTTTCAGGATGGAAAGAAATAAACACTGGGATCTCCCCAGGGATCTTTGTTGGGACCAGTGCCAATTAACATATTCATAAATGATCTGGAAAATGAGGTTATTAAAATTTGCTGATAACACGAAATTATTCAAACTGGTAAAGACCAAGGCAGACTGTGAGGAACAGAGGATGTGGCAAGACTGTGTGAATGGGCAACTAAATGGCAGATGCAGTTCAATGTAGATAAATGATGCACCTGGGCAAAAATAACCAAAACTCTACCTAAATTATGATGGGCTCTATACTAGCTGTTACCACACAGGAAAAATCTGGGAGTCATTGTGGCTTGTTCACTAGAAATGTCAGCTCAGTAGCCATCAAAAAGGCAAACAAAAGGTTAGGAAATATTAAGAAAGGAATTGTACACAAAATGGAAAGTATCACCATGCCCCTTTATAAATCCATGGTGCATCCACACCTTGAATACTATGCCCAGTTCTGGTCCCCTCACTTCAAAAGGATACAGAAGAACTAGAGAAGGTACAGAGAAGGGTAACAAGAATGATTAGTAGTATGGAGGAGCTTCCATGTAAGGAGAGACTCAAGAGCTAGGCCTATTCAGTTTAGAAAACAGATGCTTGAAGGGGGAAATGATAAGGGTTTACAAAATACTAAATGGTGAAGAAAAAGTAAATAAAAAAAACAGGAATTACTCAAATCTCACAATACAAAAACTAGGGGTCAAAGTAAAACAAGTAAGTAGTAAGTTTAAAACTAACAGAAGGAAGTTCTTTTTCACACAGCGTGTAAGTAAAAAGTGTGGAACTCATTGCCACCAGAAGCTGTGGAAGCTCACAGCTTAGCTAACTTCAAAAAAGGATTGCATAAATTCTCAGAGAAAAGGGATAACTATGGAGCATGGGAGCTAGCAACAGCCTCTAAATTACAACTTCCTGGACCTTAAATGCTGGAGGCTGCAAGTGAGAGGAACAGTGGGAAAAATAAATGTTGGTCACACCCAATTGACTCTCCATTTCAGCATCCACTCTGCCACTGTGTGATACAGCATACTGGGCAAGATGGACCTATATGGTCTGACCCAATACATGGCAATTCTTATGTTCCAAAATTAAGGGCAAAATACTTTTACTTTTTGCTTGACTTATTTCCAGAGCTCTTTTACAGCTAGGTGATATTTTTCAATGAAATGAAAGGGTCCAATAATGCCTCTAAACGAATAAGTCATTAACCCCACCATTCATTACCTTGAATTAGCAATTTTATTTTTCCAGTTACAGGGATCAACATTTAAAAAAATATATATTTTAATGCCATGTTTGCTCAGAAACACAGCTATATCAAATGTTGAAGACTTCTGAAAATTAGAAATAAGCAGATCTTTGTCTTACAGGAAAATGCTACTTCTTCATGGGTATACAGGGCAATGAATGATTTAAAGGATGCAGATTGTACAAGTCAGTGAGTTATAAAGTACTGACTCACCATTTGAATGAGGTTCAGATGTCTCCCATCCTATTGATTTCATCACTGCTTTCTTCCATCTGGCATAGCGATATTCACTTTCTGGAAACACAAGAAAAAATTAACACGTGGAAAACACACCTCTAAATATAGTAATATACCATTAATTCCTTGTCTTGCAAAGATATCTGAATGAGGATAAAGCAGTTACTCCAGATCTCTTCTCAATGAAATTCACTCTCTCAGGAGAATAAGGCTTTGCTTTCCCATAATAAAAGCAAAACAAACAAAAAAAACAAACTCCCAATGCATGATTAAAATTTGCAATTCCATCAGTACCTCACAAAAACAAAATCACAAGGTTTACAATTTCTATTTTCGACTGTTTTTCACTTTGCATATTTATTATCTGTGCAAAAGGATGTCAGATACTATCATTCTGACTCAATAGGGCCAGAACTAACTGCACTAGGAATAAAGCAGCAGAGAATCAGATTTCTGAGTTCAGCTTTACCATTCTTTAAAGAAAAAAAAAATATCACTGGGTAGGTTTTAAGTATGATTATTTGAAGCAGTAGCACTGTTTCAAAACCTGCTGAAAATTGTTACCTGCATGTTACTAAAAGTGCTGTTACAAATTCCCAGGCAGAAAGTTCATGCAAAGACCACGTGCATCAAGTCTACTCAACCCGCCCCCCCCGCCCCAAAAGCCACCCCTTTGTCTTATGTACAGGTGAATTATAATACTAATTGCTTCATGTGTTTGTTTTTAGAAGTGCCTAGGAACAAGGCATTAATTAAAACATCACTGCCTTTATAAAATCAATAGTTTGCTCTGAGTCGGAAAAAGTCACCTAAAAAAACCAAAACCAAAACCAAACCAAACAAACAATTTATCTCTTCTACAGCTCTAAAAACCCAACAATACATGGGGATCTTGAATTCATTAAAATATTTCCCTCTGCCAAAAATTTTCAGTACTTGGGAATCAAAACAGTAGTCTAGGATTTTATTAATTTTGGGTGGGTCTACACGCCGCCACATGGTGATGTTACTACAGTGCCATGGTTTAGTACTTTTGGAAGTACTAAAGCACAGCGCATTACAGGTGGTTACTGCACCATGTGCATGGTGTGTGGGTAGATTTTGCTGCTATGTCACCATAGTGGCACGCTATACTGGGGGAGTACGCAGCTATAGAGACATAGCTGGTGATCATATGTAGGGTGACGTGTAGACAAGCCCTTTATTGATTTAAATGAAAAGCCACCAATTCCAGTTCTGCTACATGTAAGTTCCTAAGAAACAGTTATGGAGTTAACAAGATTGATGATACCGACTTACTCTCAAATAAGTAAATACGAATACAAACTGTACATGCAATTTTCTAAAAGCCTATAAGAAAACACAATGGCATGGTCATCACTAGGTCAGGACGTTTGTTTTAATAGCTGTAAAACAGAAAGACTGAATTTGATGTATGACACGTGTTCAATTTATGCTTACAAGCATACTACCAAAAACCAAAGAACATTTTAGAATCTGAACTGAGGACTTTACCTTCAGGATTGATCTGTGGTTCAAATCGTTCACATGTCACTGCTGTCAAGTCTCCAGGATCCAGACTCCAAATTCCAACTCCTTCTGCAGCTCCTGCTGCCATAGCAGCTCCTAGTGCTGTTGTTTCAGGCATTGATGGTTTTACTGAAGGAAAAAAGAGACACCAGTTTTCTTTATAAGTCAATTTGCATAATGAAATAGATCTACATGGGCACTGTACACCTAGATTCCTTTAGACTTACTATCTGCCCCCACGTAAATACAATCAACTGTTATCATATTAACTATACCTCTGACCCTTCCTGGTCCCTTTGGAGTGTACTCCTTCTACTGCCTCGATCTAACACCTCCCTGAGGTGAAGTCAGCCAATTTCCCAACTCTAAGATCAAGCCTTGAACTGTGCTCTGCAGATGTTAACTGTGATTATGTTTGGTTCATGAAGCATGGAATTTCCAGAAGCAATGATTAGCAGGTGGGCTAATAGCATGAACAAAACAGAAGCAAGCCATTGCTTACGAAAGCTTACGCCTCTGAATTAATCTATAACAGGGATGGCCAAACTGTGGCTTCAGGGTCACAAGTGGCATGAGCAGCCTGTTTGCTGCGTGCAACAGATCGAGAAAGGGACAAGCAGCACAGTGACAGAAAGCAGAGCAGCAGATTGGGCACAGGAATGCAGCTGGAGCAGAACTTGTGGAGGGTGCCAGGCTAATTTGTGACGTATCTGCCTAAAGGGTTGGTTCCTACTGGTCTATAAAAGGTGCCACTCTGCCCTGCCTTCTTCCTGATTTCTTTAAGAAGGCTGTGCTAGTCTGAAAAGCATTTGAAATGAAAACAAGACCTGTATAGTTTAGCAGAATACAGATGTCTAGCTTACCTTAGCAGGTAGTTTACTCTAACAAGCTACCATCTCCCTACGGTCTCAGTGGCATACAGTAATTTTAACTAACAAGGCTATATATTCCTAGTTTATATATTCACATCAAGGAACTCTATGTCAGCCTTAACAAAATTAAAACAAGGGTTTGAAAAAGCTGCTTTAGTCTTATTGCTGCTGAACTTATCTAACCCTATTTGGGTTTTTTGTTATAACATGACAAGAATGATGCACTTAAAGTATGCACAGTCAGTTACTACTGAAGCAGAAGGCTTTGCACAAAGCATACAACACTGTCTCCTGTTATCGCACTGTGCTACTTGGAACAATGTTAGGTTTCAACAGTTTTGGACGATACACCTCTATTCTCCTCTGCTTGCCTCTTTCAAGGGGCACATCTCTATCTGTTTTGTATACAACATCTATCATGTTGACTAAGCACCTTGCACAATTCATGGGTCTGCATTTGTTTCATCATTTGCATACCTTCTTATTGCTACAGTAGGAGATATATTTTTATCCCCTAATCCCTAGTTGCAAAAACATTCACCTTTTCTTCTTCTACTGTCTTATGCTCTAGGCAAAATCATGAAGCCATCCGTCTGTCCACCTAAACCTCACTGAAAAGTTAAGATGATAAAAGGGGTGTGAGGGAAGGAGAGGAACAGCTTACTACTAGCCACTGCCACTGCCCTGGTGATGGTATCCTGGACACCTGAAACAACAGGGGCTCAATTTTGCAACAGACTGAGAAGCTGCAAATTCCAAGCAAGAGCTGTAAGGTTTAGACTGTCTACTAGAATATTAAAGTTTGCTTAACTATACCGTATCTTAGACCTTTACTAAAAGGCAGTAGCATTTCATTAGCAGAATTAAAGCTAGTTGGTCTTCTTTAGAGTGCTGGATTTTCAAACGAAACTCCACCCCTTCTCCCCCAATCACCCACAATCCTCAAATCAGACTAAAGACTTAATATAAAAATGAAGATAAAACCAAAATAACACATACAGAATGGAGGATGGAGAACAAAAATAAGTAAATAGCCTAGACAGCTACCTTACCTACTGGAATGCAGAGAATATCAGCTTGGAGCTGCATGAGAACCTTATTGTTGGTCATTCCTCCATCAACCTGTAACTGGCTTAATGGTATCCCACAATCCTTGTTCATGGCATCCAAAATCTGAAAAGGGAATATTACATTCCATTTGTGTCACTATGAGACTCATTTTAAATGAAAGGTCAGTTCTTGTTGAATTCCAAACTAATATGTATTCCCCATTAAACCATGATAGGACTGTATTAAATGCTCAAAGCATCCCTTTCCCAAACTTTTTGAAAGTTAAAAGCCTTAGCTTCATTTTACAAGTTTTGTATGGCTCTTGCTGGTAAATCTGAAGATTCCTTAAAAGTGAACTACAGGGCAGTATCCAATTTTCCACTTACTGTTTTTCCACCAAAAGCCGGCCAAACACAGAAGTTTACTTCATTTTCAGTGTAGATTTTTTGTACAACTAAAGATCATATGAAGAAGCACTCCATGTTGTTCCCAAAGCACCCAATTGCATTACTCTTACACAGATGAATGTTCACTGAAGTCAGTGGGTTATTACAGTGGTGGCCAACTCATTTAACCCTGTGCCAGACTCATGGCAATTAATGCTACCACTACTCACCCTGCTGCCAAATTTCTGGACTAGTGCAGAGCCTGTGGGCTGGGTGATACTACTCCATGGACAGATCCAGTCTCTGGGCCATGTCTTAGTTACTCCTGAGCTATTACAACTCCATAAAGCTCTGGGTTGGGGCCAGAACATTACTCTAGAAATCAGTCAAGTAAAAATGCAATGTAAAGGGAGAGGAAGTACAAATAGGCTTGTCCTGTTGAATTTGGCATAGGTGTACTTAAGAGGTCATCTTTCCTGAGGCAGGAAAAGTCTCATGTCCCATATGGGGATTGAACCCCACCCGTGACAACATAAGCACCACGCTCTAACCAACAGAGCTTATCAGGTACTAAATTATTTGAGCAAGAAAGAAGCATGTGACATAAATTCAAAGATTTCTTGATGATGGCTCATAGAAATAAGTGACTCTTCAATGCAACACTTTATTGTAGAGGGAGAATACTTTTAATTTCAACTGAAAATGAGGCACCTGGATATTCTGCACAAGGGGAAGGTAGACTGAATTTATGACTTTATTTCAATAATTAGATGCACCCAACCAGAGGTAGATCCAGAGCTTCCCAAAGGGGGGGTGAGGGAGCAGCAACCTGTACGGAAGGGGTGGCTGCTCCTGTGCCCCCACCAGTGAGGATAGACTAAGTCCCTAAAGACGGTGAAAATCCTATCCTCATTGCCTCTTCCTGCTCAGAGGCATGCCTCCTTCCCTCCTGCAACTCCCTTACCTGCTGCTTCTTCCACTGCTCTGGGGCAGGGAAGCTCCAGAGTCAACTGGGCTGAGCAGGGGCTGGATTCAGCTGGGGAGGGGACAGAAACAACAGCATGGCAAGAGAACAGTTCCCCACACCCTGTCCAGAGCAGAGGCAGGGAAGGGGACCCCCTTTTCCATCCCTGCTGCTGCTCCTGTCCCTAGCTGAGCTCAGCCCCAGCACAGTGGGCAAGAAGGCCTTTGGTGTTTCCCTACCTGCGGACAGCAAGAAGTCAGGTGGGGAAGGGATTTTTCCATGCTTTGAAAGACTTAAAGCCTCTGGAGACTCTTATGGTATAGTGCAATTCAAAAATCAGGGGGGAAAAAGGAGTACAGCTGTACCACTACACCCTCTTTGGATCTGCCCCTGCACCCAGTGAGGCACATCATACCATATGAAGGTAATAACAGCCAAAATGTAACACTATTTATGAAACACTACCTGAAAAGCAATGTGTCAGACCAGGACTTCTGCTCACAGATAGCCAGCATAGCCTCTAAAGCAGGTTGAAAGAGCACATTCTGGAGACATGTTGACTTCTCACTCTCCTGGATAGCTTACACACCAGGGCTAGGGACTGACATTCAAGAAGCCTGAGCCTAAATTGATTCAATATTTGCAGGTTAGTCTAACCTGGCTAGGTTTAACCAGTTTGTAATTGGACAGACATGCTCTCTGGACTGAGGGAATTCAGGCACATGCCTGCAGTGGCTCAGGCTACAAGCTGGGGGACAATAGATCAGCCTCCCTTCCCTTGCACACTACTGAGCTGAGGGGGGTGTGGCCAGGCCCCGGCAGGACCTCTGATTAGGGTGGTCTGCCTGCACGGTCTCAGGCCTTTCTCCGCCGGCTGCTCAAGGGGTGGGAGTGTTGCCAGACCTCAGGCCAGGGCTAGCACTCTGAGGCAAAGGGGTGGGGGTGCAGTACATGCATCTGTTGATGATACTGAGCTTTACAATCTTCCTCTCCCTGCTTCATCATACTGTCTGCAGCAAACTGACAGGTGAGCAAGCCAGCAGGGGACTGATAACAGTGATTATCACCTCATCAGCAAAACAATAGCCTCTCTCCATTACTTCAAACTCTTCTTAAACAGCTTACCAGCTGACCTGTTAATTAGCTCTAAATAGCCCTAAGAGGTCGTTGTTCTGTCTGCCTATCCCAGTGAAATTGGAGAGACACACACACGCAGAGAGACACCTCTCGGCATTAGGTAGCATACCACAGTAGCATGCCTACGGTCCATGGGGCTGGGGTCCGTGCTGTGGGAGACGGGAGGGAAGGAAGGGTGGGGGGGATTCTTGCTTATGCAGTCAGCAGTTAAGCGGGGAGTCAGGCAGATCCTGCTGTGCCTACAGCCTTTGCCAGAGCTCTGGCTAGGGAGCAGAAGGGAGGGGCCAGCCCTGATGTGGAGCACAGAGATTCACCCAGCCCAAGAGCGTACCAGGATGCTAGGGGTCTGGTTTGCCTTAAACCAGCAAGGGGTTTGGGACAGACATTGCATAAACCGGTTTGAGCCAAATCAGTTAAGTCTGATACTATATTCAACTGGGTTTATCTCAAGCCAGTTTCAGCCATTTTCAAACTGGTTTATGTGCACTGAACATCTGTTCTGCTATAGTCTTAAACCAGTTTCTGGTCCCTTAAATGAGTTTGTGTGTAATGTCTGTCCCTAGCCCAAGGGCTTTACTAGCCTCTATGAAGCATTTAGCTACCACTCCCTAGGTATATTTCCTTATCCTTCCCCTGGACACAAGCACGCCTGTAAATGCAGAAGTACCAAATTGCAACTGTGGGTGGGGTAAAGAAAAGGTAACTGGTCTAGTGTCTAAAGTGCTTATACATGTACAGATACGTATTATTTTAATTATTCTAAAAATATACAAGCAGATTAAATTAGACTTTTAGCCCCCCCCCCGAAGGGCTGATTCTTCTTTCTACAGAAACCAGGGCAGAGTACCATGGAAACATCTGATAGAGTAGTCTATTGCCGACAAAAGCTCATACTTCTCTAAACTAGTAAGTCTCAGAGGCGGTACTTCTTAACCAGGATGCAGTGTGCCTTGAGATCCTTTCACCACACAATCTTAGCAGTTATGCGTGCAACCATAATTCACAAAATAAGCTGAGATGTCAAACAGAAACCCGTGGTTTTAAAAACCATCCTGACTTAGTGTAGGCTTGAGTGCTTTGCTGAAACTTCCTTAACCTGACGAAGGGTTTCTGAACTCGAAAGCTTGCTTAATAATTATTTTCGAACTATTTGGGTTGGTCTAATAAAAGATATCAGATTCACCCAAGGAACCTTGTTTGCAACACACACACACACACACACACTTTTCCATAGTCAAAAAAACAAGTGAAAAAAGAGTTGGCATTTTCCAAGAGGTGCCTCAAGTATAAGAAGAGGTGCTCTGACCCTAAAAATGGTGAGACGAGTCTCTGCTCTAAAAGGTGCCACCTTGACTTGTCTCCTGCCTGACTTCAGACTAACACTGCTAACAACCTCTCTTCTGTATACATGCTGCAGTTCAGTGGGACCCAAATTAGCGCACAGTATTCCATAAACACAACCTGTTTCTACCACTGTAAAGGCTCCCACAAGATCACTGTTCATGCAGAAAAAGAACACAAACACAATCACTAAATTTGATGGGATGTTTTCATTTACTTGTTTTGAGTAAATGTTTTGTTAAAAAGACAAACTTTTTAAAAATACTCCAAACTCATGCTGTTTATAGTAAACTAATTCAAAACAAGAAAGGCCCAGGAATTTCTGGTTTGCTGTTACCTCTCGTGTTTGAAAGCAGACAGCCTCTAATGCAGCGAAGGCAATGTGATTTTTATTTGTAAACTGAGTAAGGCCACAGATAATACTGTTGAAGAGAAAAAAAATTAACACACTGATAAGCAATTGGGAATCACTCATTTTAACCATACTATTCCAAGTATTTTAATGCTTAGTATATATAAAAAAAAAAAGTTGTGGTTTTAAAGGTAGCATTAAAAATAATAAAGCCTATTTTATAGTCCTCCCCTCCCTGCAAGTATATTTTAAGTCAATGGATGAATGTTTTTGGTTGGCGTGCCACCCGTTAGCCCTGCACCCTTCCCAAGTGCCACTCTGATCCCCTTCCCCTGCCAGATCTGTCTGCTCTCTCCTCCCTGCCCAATTTGCCAATTTGTTTGCTCCTCCTTGCCCCATGGTCCGTCTCATCTGCCGTTCTGCTTCCTGCCCTACCTGCCTCTGTGCTGCCTGCTCCCTCTCGCCTATCTGCCACATGCCATGCACAGAGGCTGCCCATGCCACTTGCAGCACATGTGCTGCCCTTGGCCAGCCATTTTAGAAAGTGGTTGCTCTTTTGAGCTGGAGAGCAGCCTGATATGCTGACTTCAAACACCCTCTGCTGCTCTCTTCTTTTCTTCACAATGCACTAGCAATTTTCTCAAAGGACACAAGAAACAAATTCAATTAAATTCTTTGGTGTTTTTGAAGGAGAAGGAGCAAGTTCAATAAGTAAGGTTAGCGGTCCCACCTACCCATTAGAAGTCAAGGATTGTTTACAATATCACCAGGCCTTTCTGCTCGTATAGTATTCAGTCAGATCCTTACCCTCTTGCACTGGGTTCCCAGTATGGTGCATAGAGTCCTGAAAATGCTGGCACGAAGTAGCAGCCATAAGAAGTTCCCACTTCAGCAGCAAGTTTTTCTAGCACACACAAACACAGAGTCTTTACTTAGCTCTATGCCCAAATACATTTATAGTGAAATAAGTGTTTGGTTTGGTATGTTTTCCTGTCCCAGAAGTTATTGTTTAAAAGACAGTTAAAAACATATCTAGGAAAACAGTTAAAATACTACAACTAGAAGGCAGACATGGCTATTCTGGCACCCAGATGGCTAAGCAATGATCAGGATTAAGGAAATTAAGATTCAAATTTATGAAGGAAATCAATGGGATTGGTAGATAACCAGCATCTCAGATCACTTCTAGTTAAATGATCACATCTAGGTTTAGGTTGCAAGACTTTAGAAAACAAGCTGGATATTGTTGGGTTTTATTCATTTTTAATGTATACAATTTTATAACATTCAGAATTTTAAATTCACAATTTATATTGGGATAAAATGTCCCAAAGTGTGTAAGTGCCCTAATTCTCACTGACCAGTCACTTGAAAACAAACACAAAGTTTATACACTTTTGCTAATTTTACCTGTTACCTTCATTTTTAAAAGTTAGTTTAGCCTCAGTTTCTGTAATACTAAACTGGAAACTTACATACTATTGTGTGTTTTTTCAAGCAGAAAAGCATTAACTACCTAGATTCCTCTTGTTTTTTCCATTCTCAGTCATCACGGATATCCTGACTGGATACTAAAATCATATACCAAATTAAATGCCATTTGACCATCATGTAGATTGAGGCCTTCAATTAACTCAGTGTTACTACTCTCGTCCACAGAGATCACAACGTGCAAGGCCATGGTTCTACACTTGGGATCATAAGGCCTGGGAACAAATTTATAGGTTTTATGATCCGATTTTCAGTGAACTTCATAATGAAACTAATAAATTCACCACTTCTGTGATACCTTCCTATATGTCAGCTTAATGTAGCTCTCAGGAGTTTTAGCACAAGTGTTTTTTGCAGAAATCCAACATCATTACAGTATTTTGGGGAGTGACTAATTGCAAATAGTTGCACATGTTAGTCAACATATATATTATTGAACTTATCTAACTTGGTTCTTTTGACCTTTCATTCAATACAAGAGACTTCAAGACAGTTTGAAGAAGCCTGCAAATTATGAATACTTACCAACTTCCTGGGAAGATTTCACAATACCAAGATTGTCCCTCAGCCAACGAACAACAGCACCAGCTATGGCAACAGACCCCTACAGGAAATCCAGTCATACATTTAGTTTATTAAATTTCTACTAGGCACTAACTGAATTTTTTTTTTCACTGATTATTTGTATGTGGTCAGAGAAGAAGGAAAGAAGAGAGCACTGTGCCAACTCCACACTCTATGTGACTAATTGTTAGGATGTTTGTCATTCTGGTCCTAGGCACGCAGCTGTAAGGTCCAATAGCCCCAGGTTCCAATCTAAAGGTCCTTGTGACAAAAAGACATCCACCAAACTTCAAGGATTCTTCTAATATCTGACAGGCAAGGTTCTTTGAGTAGATGTGATCTCTTTTATTAGACCAACTGACTAGTTGGAAAAAAGTTCTTGGCAAGCTTTCAGACACAGTCACCCTTCTTCAGGCATAGGAAGTCTCTGCTGGTCTGAGACTCCAAGGAACAAGAGAAGCTAGAAGTGTGGCGGGATGTCAGTGAGAATGTAAATAGGTAGAAATTAGAAAGACAAAAAGGTAAAGCCAGTAAGGGAGGGGAAAGAAAGCAGGGGAGAAAAAAAAATGCCAAAGGGGAGTCATTATAGTGATAGAATATGAGGTAGAAAAGAGACTTTAAGTGACAAAGGAAATAATAGATCAGGAGAACAGGAATAGATGTCCTGTGAGAAATGTGTCCCCATAGGTAGTTGGGTATTCTGGTCTTTGATAGATTTGCGATGTGTGTTCATTCTGGTGTGCAACTGTTGTTTGGTTTCTGCAACATATTTTTCATCAGGGCATTTGGTGCACTGGATGACATGTATAATAACATTTCTGGAGGTGCAGCTGTACAATCTAGGAATGGTGTTGGTTTTGTTGTGGGTGGAGACGTGTTGGCAGGTTTTGCATTTCTTGTCCTGGCATAGTCTGGATCCATTGCTTTCTTTCCCCTCCCTTCCCTGCTTCACCTTTTGTTTTTCTAATTTCTACCTATTTACATTCTCACTGACATCCTGCCACACTTTTAGCTTCTCTCATTCCTTGGAGTCTCAGACCAGCAGAGGCTCTCTATGTCTGACGAAGGGGGATTGTGCCCAAAAGCTTGCCAAGAACATTTTTCCAACTACTCAGTTGGTCCAGTAAAAGATAACCACATCTACTCAAAGAACCTTGCCTGTCCTATGTCCTCACACCAACATGGCTACAACCAAAAACCCAGCACTGATATCTGAAGTGCTTTTCATGTACTTATGTGCTTAAGGTGAGGGTTTAAGAATGTATATCTATATCTAGAGACATTTAAAGAAAATTTAGATACTTCAGTTGCACCAGTAAAAGTTCTTCAAATGCCAGAAGTTTTACTTTTGTACATGCTCATCACATCTAAGACCAACCAGGATACTCAACCTATGCATTCCTGTATCTCTGCCTTTTCTTGCCTCAAGACTATTTTTTAATCTATGGATTATTTCATAAGAATAGTGAGATGTTTGTTTAAAAAAAGAAAGAACCTCTGTACAAGATACAGCAGTACGAGCTGATAGTCTTGCTTTAACAAACAAACAAACAAACCCTACTGGATTGACCTTTCAGAGAACACATACCGAAGAATATCTATTTTGCGGATCCCAAGAACATTCAGACACTGACCTGCTCAGCATGGCCAAAACAAAGGCATTTTTCAACATGCACTGAAGCAGACCATTAGACGCCAGAGGAACTTTAATATTAAACAGTTTGGCAATTACAGACTTCAAATGCCTCCAGAGTTAGGTGTTAGCCAATAAAGGGTTTTAAGAATAGAGAATTAGGCAACTAAAAGGTAATGCTCACAACAGAAGTTAGGAACCCAACTTCTGCTGAAGTCCAAGAGAGATTCTAGAAACCTACTTAATCACCTTTAATAGGTACGATTCATCACAAATTTTGCAAAAAGCCTATTTGAAAGCTGGAAGTTTAATAACTACGCTTCTCCAGGTTATCTTGGTTTCTGTCTGTATATTTTAAATTCCTCTCCTGGAGCTGGGTGCCTAACTCTTGGACATGGCGATATCAACACTGCAAAATCTAAATCAATTTGTAGTTCTTGTCCCCAGTCCTTTTGTGAACATACATGGAACCTAACAAGTCTACTAGGTGCTACTGGTCCGTAATTTTCCTGTAAATACTGGTAATACCACTGGAGGGTGGACCCCAAAAATCCCTACACTTGTCCTACACTTAGAAGTAAAGCTGATAAAGCATCGTCTTGTTTAAAAAATGGAAATTTAAACACACTCTCTTACTTCTTCTTTTTAGCATACTGTTTGTTTAGGTTTGCCTACTAAAAGGTTAGAAATAGTGACTGCTATTTTTACAGCAGCAAATTATTTATTCTTTTGGATGCTGGATACTTACTTTGAAGAGAATTAAAACAAAAAACACAGAAAGGAATTATTGTACTTACTTCTAGTGCATAATACACAGGCTTGTCCCTGCCCAGCTGGTAAGCCACTGTGGTCAGAAGGCCATGCTCAGAAAATACAGACTTGAGAGAGAGAGAGAATAAACTATGAACTACTTAAAAAAAACCAAACATGGTTTATGAATCAGAAACAACTGATACATAAAATACAAAAAACTACTACATAAGATCCTAAAACATCTTCAAATTAAAAGCGATTATTTTACAAATACAAATAATCAAGAGCAAGAAACAATCTTTAAATGTAACAGTATTTTTTCTGGCAAACTTTCTAGAAGTTAGCCAGTGGTTTAGCCTAATGCACAAACCATAGCCCACAACCATTGATACCTGCCCCTTACTGTTTACATGCATTGCTGGAGACCTCTATAGAGTCTTCCCAGCAAAGAACTTGGAGCCTGAAGAAATTGCTAAAAAGGAGAAGCCACAAGCTTAATGTCTCTACTAGCTGAAGTTGAAACACACACACACACACACACACACACACACACACACACACACACACACACACACACACACACACGGCCCAGAAGGAGGAGGTATAAAAGCATATACAAGTGAATAGATCAAGACAAAACTTGATGAGGTTAATGTCAGCAAACTGAGAAACTGGGAACAAGTTAAAACAATGGCTACTTGTTGATCCATGCCTTGAATTAAAGGCACTGCTTTTTAAATCCTATAGATTACAATGTGCCTTTTCCTCGTGCAACAGCTATTAGCAATTAAGTGGAGTACAAAAAAGGCAATTTTAAATTGGTATTGCAGAATTATCCCAAGCGAGGGTCACTAAATAAGGGAGCACATGAGTAATCTCATTTTGCATTCAGGTACCTGTTTTCTATTACTCAGCTACTCCATATCACAAGATTAAGCCAAGTGAGTTCCATATTATGTCCATCTGAACTTTATAAACGTATGAAAATTACAATCCCAATATACAAAAAGAAAAATAAGTGACTGAACCGACAGACATCATACAGAAAAAAAAAATATGAAGGGCGTATATAGCAAGATTGGTTTCTTTAGAAAAAGGAATAAACCTGTATGAAAAATATGGTTCAGTGTCAAGCTATTTTGAATTCAAGCAACCAACCTTTGGACCTGTATTGCAAAGCAAGAAACAGCCTGTTCCGTACCTGGAGTAGAAGAGAATACGTGTTAATTTATATAAAAATAAAAAATATATAAATGTTGGCATTCATTTATCATAGTTTAGTTATGGGGATGTCATGGCAAAGCCGTTTAGCGTATCAAAGTAGTAACACAGCTAATGTATCATCTAGTTTAATAATACATGTATAAAATACGCATTTCTATGAACCTTACTTTTAATCACATCACCAAATTTAAGCAGCAAGGGAATCTTGCTGCAATAGAAAAATCTACTACTATAGCCTTTAAAATACAAATGGCTGGTTTCTTTAGGAAATGCAAAAGAAGAAATACAAATATGAAGAAACTGCCATAAAAAAAAAACTCAGAATAAAGTATGGCAGATTAGTAGATGTAGCAAAAACAAAAAGCTCTCTCTTTCTAATATGCTATCAAACTATTACTAGGGGTTCACTGAAAAATATTTTCTTGGGCAATACAGATAGTCGATGACTAACCAACCACACTGGCTGATGCCGATCCAATAACTGATACTTAGTAATACTGTAGTGCGAGGCATTTTAAATTACTGACATAAATAAACCTTTGTTTGTCTGTCATTTAAACACACATACAGCCCCTGCCTGTTCCAGTCCTTGATGGGGAAGGCAGAGACCACCTTATTTCCACGCGCATAGTCCCCTTGCTCATGGTTCCTACTAGCAGCCCCGCTCCCCACACAACCTGTGCTGCCTGAAGCGGACCCTCGCATGGACAGCAGCGCCAGGCCTGCGTGTTTGGAGCCCCAGAGCATGCTGCTGCCTCAGGGCCAGCGGGCCCCGCACAGCCACACTCCCCTTGGCCACCAGGGAGAAGCCGCTTTCACAAATGCGCCCAGTGCCTGGCGAAGCGGAACATCCCTCGCGCGGCGCCTTACCCTGCCTGTGCACACCCCAACATCTCCGCAGCAGCCTAGGTGCTCAGGCTCCAGCTACAGGCACGGTGTTGCCATGGCAGTGGCACAGGCAGCGGCAGCAGCCAGTAACAGTCCCTTTGTTGCTGAGCATTGCACCTTGTGACCGCTCTCCAGCACCCCCTCCAACTGCTCACTGGGATCTGTAGTCTATCACAGGGTTGGGCTGGCGGCAGGGTGAAAGGACCGGACCACACTTGCCAGGGTGCTCAAGGCATGCGGCTGTAATTATCGGCTACAACCACCAAAAAAAGCTGATAGCTGATAACTTCTTTTCTCCTTTTAATCAGCGCTGATTCGATAGCCAACCAATATATTGGTGCACCCCTAACTATAACACTGATAACCTCTAAGTATTTCTCATGTATTTTTCACAAAAAAGGTGAAACAAGGAAATGCACCTGGAAGTGTAAAATTTTACTTTTTGGACTCAGAAGACATTTTGAAAAGAGGGTAAGTTGTGAATATCTTTTGTCAGTTAACGGAACAAAAATGTAAGTCTGTGTAAGTCTGACCAGCAGTTGAAACTTCAGGTTCAAACAGGTGGCAAAAATATATATTATTTAGCAACAAGCACTGATCAGTGAAACGCCAGCAGCTGCTATTCACCCAGCAGCAGGCTCTACCTGAGCAGCAGCAACAGTGAAAGGGCAGAGGGGCAAGGAAAATCAAGAGGTGAAATAAGAGTGATGGGGGAATATGGTATCACTTGACTACTAGACGGGGTGGGGGCAGAGCCTTACCTGCTTCCAAACAGGGCTGCTGTAAGCCAGTAGGAACCTGGGATGGACAGGCTGCCTACTCTCTGACCAGGACTGCTGGGAGTCATCTGCAACGCCAGCTGTAGATAGACTCTCCAAACAGCCCTGGAGTGTGGGTGGGTGATGAGGGCTAGTGCCTTGCTCACTGCTAAACAGCATTAGCACATTTCCTTGCATACAGTGCACATGCAGATTTTCAGCAAGTTGTTTTTGGGAAAAGTGTGGGCTACATGCAACCCCTCCACCCCGCCCCCAAACAAAACAAAAACAGTATTTTTGTGTAGTCAAGAAAGGCATGGAAGGCAAGAGCAAACATTTTCCAAGGTGTATCTCAAGTCTTAAGAGGTTGTAAACCACAGTTATATTGTAATCCTTCATTTGTTCAAATTTGGGCCACTCAACTTGAAGTCAAATTTTAGAACTTGTGGATTTTGCAATAGAAGATGCAATTTTAGATGACCATCATCATAGGGTACTTAACATATTTTTTCAAGTAAAAGTTTCAGGGTTAAGTTTGCAGCGTGTTCAATATTGAGTTACAGGGGTTTAGGCTGTAGCCGTGTTGGTCTAAGGACATAGGCAGACAAGGTTCCTTGGGTGAATTTGATATCTTTTATTAGACCAACCCAAATAGTTGGAGAATATTTATTAAGCAAGCTTTCGGGTTCAAAAACCCTTCGTCAGGCTAAGGAAGTTTCAGCAGTTTGTGTGTGGAAGAGCGCACACCAGCTGCTGAAACTTCCTTAGCCTGACGAAGGGTTTTTGAACCCGAAAGCTTGCTTAATAAATATTCTCCAACTATTTGGGTTGGTCTAATAAAATATATCAATATTGAGTTAGGCACTTACTAAGATTAAAAAAAAGTTACCTATCCACATGCAGGTATTTTTAAAAAGGAGAAAGAAAAAGGAGTTGCAGACACTTGTGCTCAGCAACTCACTAGGATAAGGTCACAAATCTATCTTTCTGTATTCACCACAGAATGAAGATGAGCCAATGCCATTTACAGTGTGCTTGTGCTAACTTACGTATTTTTTGCTTGTCCATCCCTAAAACACATTTGTCCAACTAGTGCAGCAGATTGGTCACCCAAGCACTGAAAGGAGAAATATTTTAAAACAAAGGCATACATACAGACTACTGCTTAAAACAGCATTACACCAGTTATTCTGGCCTACAGAAATCAATTTAAGGAGATTCAAACAACCAAATGTAGCAGCAACACATGTCTGAGTCTGACACACACAACATTTCTGTATAGAAGTCTTGTACTTTAAGCCTTTATTTTGTGATACATTATCCTCTTTTCATAGCATTTACTTAGTGGAGCTACCCTCACAGATAATAAAGATCAATGCTAATAATTCAATTGGGCTTGATAATGAAAAGCAAGCTGGGATGTGAGCCTAGATGTCAGCAAGAACATACACCAAGCTTGCTAGAATTAAAAATAACATGTTTCAACACGTCTGCTTATTTTGCAACAATATTAATTCATTTTAACATTTCTATACAGTGAAGATCTTTCTATATAAAATCAAGCTCTCACACAAGACTTTGAATTGGAGTACAACTCACCCCAGAAATTGGCACACCTGTCAAAGCTCCAGACTTCTGGCAAAAAAGGCAAACATGTAAGATTGGATTATTTTTTTCTTAAATAAATATTGCAATAGTTGTGCAATAAAGGATTATCCATTCATTTTTAATAGAATGATGCATGCTTCATATATGAATGGAAAGAAATGAAACAGAACTCTAACCCACATGAAAATGGGTAGTGACTTAAAAGCGAAGAACATTTTTTAGTAAGTACATTCAAAACATAAACATTCAACAGAAGACAATGAAACATTTAGCAAAAGTAACAAGTTTTTAACATGGTTTCTTGGTACAAGCTGGACATCACAAGAGCGCCAAAAAGCACAGCATGCATTACTTTTCTTCTCCCTTCACTGAGGGACACTCCAAAAAACCCCAAATTTAAATCATTTCTCTGCATTTTTACAAGCTAGTACGCAATATGAAAATCATGATCAATACTATATCATGGTGTCGCAAATTAACATGAATGAAAAATGCTGTTCAGGTTTTTGTTTTTTCCTTTTTTTTTTGTTTTTTTACATGCCTGGGACTTAACTGATATGCCCATGGAGCTACATATTAGGTTAATCCTGCTCCCATCAATTTCTGCATAATTGCTAAATACAGGGCCTGAATCTAGGTTTCATGGAAGAGAAGACAATTGCCCACTGGGTTCAACAATGAAGCTTAAGCGTTTTGTCCTTGGAAAAAAAAAAAAAGAAGCAATTTCAATGCATGAATTGCATCCAACTTCAGAGGTGTTGGTTGTAGCTGTGTTGGTCTAAGGACATAAGCAGACAAGGTTCTATGGGTAAATCTGATATATTTTATTGGCGCAACTAAAGTTTTAGTTGGTTTAATGAAAGGTATCAGATTTAGCCAAAGAACCTGATGTGCCTTGCATCCAACTTCAGCTTTAGGAGGGGAAAAAAAAATGAATACAAATAGACTTGAAGAGCTTAAAGAGTATATTGGTAGATTAAAGGTTAAAACATGAAGGCTAAATCAGGCAAATAAAAATGATATATTTACGTGGCCAAGAAGAGAAGCAGACTATAGTATCACCAACTATGCTAGGCATCAATAAATATCCCTCCTCCTTTCCTACTACTTTATGGTGACAGAATCATGGTGTGGTTTATCCAATGAGTGGCCCTGGAAAAAAATTATTCCAAACTTTGGAGGAGAATTATGATCCTTGTTACCAGACTTTTTCTAGTCCTTCAATCTTGATAAAACAGTTTATGATAACAAAAGGGAGGAGAACTAACTAATGCTTACAAGGAAGAACAAGCTCAGGAACAATGCGACTATGCTACCTTTCCATTTCCTAGGTCTCTACTACAAATTACCTTTCAGATGCACAATGAAATTTTAAAAATAGCTTATGACAACTGACTCTGTATTGTGCTGAAAATGTATTAAGGAATGGAAAAATAGGTATGAAGTCCAAAAATCCCCAGAGCTTCTCCCTGAACCTTGTTCACCCACTCCAAAAGTAAAATGGTTCCACCCGCACCAACCCTCTGCAAGGATTCTGTTAGCTAGCCTTGTTCTACCACTCCTCTCTCGCCTTCCCTTCTACATCACTTTGACTTTATGGGAATTGGAATTTTTTTCTTTTTTTTCCAAATGAATATATGCTTTATACTTTCTATGATGGCTGCTATTAGACTATAAAATTATGCATCTTGGATTATTACTTTTCCCATCTCTGTGGTCAAGATCAAGATTCAGACTCGAGAGGAATTTTTCCTGTGAGTGAATAAGCAGAGCTTTCTCCCCTCTACATCATGTACAAGAGAAACGCATTGAAGCCACAAGGGTTGAAACAATGCCTTTAAAAGAAGATGGCCTGCAAATCAGGTCCTATCGCTTAGAGGGAATGTTAGAGGTCCCTGCAACACCATGATCCTAGTACATGTAGTTTTAGGCTTGATGTGGTGGATTAAGGAGAGATCCTAAACCAAGAGATTGCAAGATTCATAGGCTTACTCCAGACTCAAAGGAGGACTAGACCAACCCGTTTTAACAGTTCTCATTTTTCAACATAATTTGTTTTAAGAGTTACAGTATTATCCATGACAAAAAACACAATAAAAGATGCTAACATGTGGCCTCTAACAATAAGGTTTATGCTTTGCATTTATAGCATTTTTGAAAAATTACAACTCATGTTTTTAACAAAGATAAATTAGGTCTCATTTTCAGATTAAAAAGTTTTCAATTATGAAGCATTTCTTCAAAACACAATCACAATGTTCCAGACATCCTTCAGGTGTTATATTCTTGCAAATAACCACATGCATCACTGGTATGCAGTACCCTGTCAAGACCTGCTTTACTTAACAAAGTTGCTTCTTTGTGGAGCTGTGACAATGCGTTCTCAGTGAAGCCATGCATAAAACATAACAGTGCATTTCCAGTTGGAAAGTCTTAGCTATTTCTTGAATTCCCATTTTATAGGCTGAATGTTCAGCAGTTTACATTAATTTGTAAAAAAAAAACCTTATATGCCTTCTATTAATATTGAAGGCAACAGGATATTCCATATTCTTATGAGAGAAAGCTCTCTCTATTAGCCAGTAGCTATGTTTGTTTCTCTTATGAAAAAACGTTATTCTCCCCCTGAGATTTATACAAGCATACCAGCTAATTCATGGTCAATCTGGTCATATCACTGCAATGCCTCAATATGGAGAGACTTACCAATTTTATTTTACTTAATTGTATGCAAAAATAACATTTGTAAGTGGAAATGCATTGTATTTGAACAAATGGATGAGAACTGGTGGACAGCCTGATGAAAGCCTCTACTCACCACAGCAGAACTGATTTTCTACAGTCAGCAAGAAAAAAAAGTGGGTCGGGAGAGGGAAAAACAGAAACAGACTAGTACAAGTTGAAAATCATCTACTGTCCTGTCAATTTTTCTTTTCCCATCTGCTGTACTAGCAAAGAGTAATCAAGTTGTTCTAAATTAATCTAACCCCTATGGATTCTAAATGTGAATGTCTTCTCCCACTAGCAAAAACATTTAGATTTTTGGCTGGTTAGAGCCAGACTTTTTTTTTATTTTATTCTATAATTAAAAAGGGCAAGGTAGACTTAGTTGGAGCATATATAAAAGGATAACCTTCAGAGCAGAAAAGAGTTTCCTGTAGAGAAAATAATCTGTATACAGGCTCCTGTTCTGAAGACTTCCCAGTCAAGGAAAAAATTAGGTCAGATTCATTAAAATTGCAGTACCATACTGCACCACTTCTTCTGAGGTACAAATGTCTCAGTCCCAACTGACTGACCACAATTCAGGGCTCCCTCTGGTGAGAAGTCTCTGCAGCTGCTCAAGAAGCAGTTTGACTGCAAGACCAGCAATGCTCCATTAGAGTTTTTTGTACCTTAAGCTTACCCTAGCAACTAGAACCAGATTCTAAACAACAAAAAAAGACAATGCAAGATACCACTTGTACTTTTGATCTATCAGAATTATACCAAATCCTCCTTTTAACTCGCATGAGCTTGAAACAGTGGTCTTACCATTCCCTTTACTAATTATATTCCCATATAAATCTCTCAATGCTCCTTCTGCAGCTAATGCTCCCAAAAAAGTAATCACTCCAGCAAGGGCACTGTTTGAAATGAGTTAATTACTTTTTACTCGTGGTTACAAAATTAATTTTTCCAAGTAGATTGTGAACCACTAAATAAGAATAAGATTTTTACTATTACTGAAGAGTCCTTCCAATTTGTTTTCATTAGATAACAGTGGTTTACAACCTTCTGGCCCTGCAGGCTGGATGAGTGGTATGGGGTTGGATCCAACATGGAGTCATTCCTGGGTGCAACCTGGCCTGGCCTCATGGCAGCAGAGAAGACCCACGTACCACACAAGACAGTCATTCAGCCTGTGGGGTCCCCACAGGTCTGGAAATTTGGTGGCAGGTAGTGGGGTCAGCATTAGTTGCACTCAGCCATGGCAGTTAATATTGCCACCACTCCCTGATGGCAAATTTACACTTGTAGGGAGCTCCCATGGGCTGAATTTACTCTTTGAGCCAGAGGTTGAGCACCATTGTGATAACAGGTAAAGATACTACTATTATTTTCAATGCTGACAATCAACCTACACTGCTCTAAAAAACAGACTAGTAACTCTCCAGCCTACCAGGAAGTTTTTCAAGCTATGCTTCAATAACTATGTTTGCAGGAGAGAGAGTTTAGGCACAAAAACCAACCAAACAAACAAAAACTACATACCATCAGGCCATAGATCTCAGAGGAACTCCTCACTTTTGGAAGTATTTCCATAGGAATATCAAAAAACCTGAAAACAACAAGACTATTTAGTTTGCATCTATTTGTATTGAATTAATAAGGAAGATCTACTTTTCTTAGACAAATTTAAACTATAAAACATAACCATGTGAAGGAAACTGTGATTGCCATATCTCAATCCATTATTCACTGTCCTTCCCCACAGTTGCTATGGAGCATACCCATCTTGTATTAAGGATATGGACAAAAAAAACCACTTGTAGCAGCTTCAAAAGGGGAGGAACGACTGCTACTCAGAAGCATAAGCCTATAGATAAAATTGAGCTATGCTGCTACCAACCCTTCCTCACCCTATATTTGATCCTGAGTAAAGCAGGGTTAGAGTTAGTGGGTTTCACTACACTTAGATTACTCCAAGCGTTGGTCTGTCCATACTCTAAGAATGCATGTATTTAGAGTGTTCAATCAACAGATCCAATCCCAGTCACATTCCAGAACGTCATTTTCAAAGCAGATATGTACTAAAAAAAAAGGGAGATAGAAAAGAACAGAAAGAAAAAAAACCCCACCAAAATCCAAACCCAACACAACTCTTTGTAAAGCTTGAATTTAAAACAAAGTCTACAATTTTCCACCATAGTAAATGTGGATATTCTGAAGGACTAGTTTGAGAGGTAAGAAATGAAAGGAAATCTATTAAGGTTTATCCCTTGTGTGCCATTTTTCCAGCTACAGAAAAATACTACAGTTTGCAACCCTTCATTAATCCAGGCAGCAGTTATATGGATATGTAGAAAGAAGAAACCCAAATTGTTATGTTCCTAGTAAATGCAACTAATTGCTTTTTAGTCACAAATGTGACCAGACAAGTATTGCCTGAAAAAAATTCTTTGAAAGACACAATTAGGGTCTGTCTTTACACATCATTGACTAACACTGCTATTTCACTAGATGTAATGAAAAATTGAACTTACTGGCAGAGTTCAGGGTCCCACTCCAAGGAATGAATGTTGAACAGCATTGTTCTACTGGCATTAGTCATATCAGTACAATGAACACCTCCATTCCTTCCGCCAGTCAAACTCTGAATAAAGCAGCCAGCAATAATGTCAGCAGGGGAAAAAATTAGCAGCCCACTAATAGTATGTAGGTATTATAAAAACAATAAATTTATTAAAAATGAAATTATTTCCAGTAAGAATATTTTGTGCCCTTAGAAGCTGGAACTCTGACCCTGACCCTTTTCAATGAATAAATGAAAAGCTAGACAAAAGACATTCATCAGGGACACACAAGAAGAATTATACAAGGTACAGGAATCTGAATCTGTGTATTTTAATGTCTCCTCTTTCAACATGCTGCAAAGGTAATTTGCTAAAGTCTCTGAAGGTCCACATTTTCCAAAAGCATAAGCAAAATTTTAGCGACACTTTGCTAACAAGAGCCACACCAAGATGGTTAGAATATTTAAATGACATAAGGCAGGAATTAGCTTGTCTTGCCCAAATGTCAGTATTAGAAGTTATTAGGTGGCCCATATTTACAAAGTGGAAGTCTGCTTTAGCCAAGAACACTTCCTTCTTCCCCACAATGTGTTAAGAGCAAGTCATATACAATTAAAGCACTTGAAAGCAGTTGTAAATATAGAGCCTTTTGTCTCAGTCTGAAAAAAGTGCCCTTTATTGTTTAGGAGGACATGAAATAACAGGTTACTACAACAGTGGGAAGACTTTGCAGAGATAGGCAAAAATACAGCTGTCGTCTAATGTAGCCTCCCAAGAATGACCCAGTCAGGTGTTCACATAAGAGGGGGTGTCTGCGTCCGCAATCAAAGCTTGTGATACAAAACCTCACAAACGTACCCATATAAGCCATGAATCAATAGTGCCAAACATAGCGCGTCCATCATCAACTGCTTGCTTAATTTCTTCCACATTATCCAGCAGCCATCGAAGTTTCACTGCACTGAAATATGTGCTAAGTGGAAGACCAGTCCTAGGCTGCAAAATTGAAAAAAAATCTTTAGGGCATCCAGTCAATTGATTCTTCCCAAATACTTCCATATTTTTACATTATATTGGGGAACAAAGGGTGAGAGAAAAGGGAAACTAAGCAATCAAGGGTCTTTCAAAAAGAAAAAACAACTAAAAATGTCTTAAAAACAAGAGAACAGATGTTCCCTATATTGTAAGCCTGCATACACCAAAACCAAATACTAACATGCTGCTGTGATCTTTGTTCATCAACATATCAGTGTGCAGTTCAAAGATCTTCCACATAGTAACAAGATAAGATATGACTTCTACAAACACTCGTATCTTAAAGAGCTGCCTCCAATCAATGAGAGAGCAAACCCAAATGCTTAAATGAGTATCTTTGAGAGGACAAACTGCTAGTTTTTGGTTTTAGGGCCAATCAAGCTAACATGCTGCTTCACTGATCTGTTATTATTGGGTGTATCCAGAAAACAGAATGGCATTTTACAACCATACAGCCACCATGTTAAGATATTAAATGTGAAAAGAATATATATACTTTGTTAAATAGTTTCTCAGTAACTGCCAAGTTTGCTTTATTAAGATCTAGATATGAAAGAATCAGGATACATTTTTAAAGAATTGTATATAAAGAAGTATTTTGGCTGGGGGTCAAACTTTTTCCTGTTAATTCCTGGGATGATTTCTATTTTTAGAGTGATATTGTGAAACCTAACTACCACAACTCCCATGCAGTGACACTTCAACAGCTTATAAACCAGGCTAATTCCTTTGGTAACTGGGTAAGTAATTTTTTTCTACTTTCAAAACTCATTCTGATATCCCTAGACACTACTAGAATCCCCAACCAATGTAACAATTTGACAAGTTAAGGATGAATTAGAGGTCTTAACTCAGAATTTCCAGGTTTGGGGAAAGTTTAAAAAAAATATATTATATTTGCAAACACCCAAAATTCACAAAGTTGGGCAAAGTTCTTTGGGTAGATGTGATATCTTTTATTAGAGCAACTAAATAGTTGAAAAAAATTTCTTGGCAAGCTTTTGGGCACAAACACCCTTCTTCAGGCAATTGCCTACAAAGAACTTTTTTCCAACTATTTAGTTGCTCTAATAAAACATATCACATCTACCCAAAGAATCTTGCCTGCCTATGTCCTTAGACCAACACGGCTACAACCAACAACCTTACATGCAAAGTCATAAACATACATACACCATCAAATACTTGGAAACCGTAAGACAGGAGTAGCCAACCTGTGGTACATGCTGTAAGTAGCATGGGCACCAGACCTCAAAGGAGGCAGGGAGCAAAGCAGTGTTGTCAGGTGTCACCACCAAAACTAGGTTAACCCTTCCCTGGCTCTGTAGATGCCACTGAATCCTGAGCTTTGAATCCTCACTTGCTATATAAAACTGCTGTAGTTGCAGGGCTAGGTAAGGGTTAATCTGACTTTTGGCAGTGATATCTCCTCCTGCAGCAGCATCTTGCCTCTGCTCTTTACAGCTGTGGCTGGAGTTCCCCTGTCTCCATTCCAGCAGCCCAGGGCACAGACTATCACATACACTTTTGATTGGGAGCAGCACTTTGGTGGGAGGCTGAGAGGGAGGTGTGGAAGGACTCTTATTTGTGGTGCACCTGTCAAAAAGGTTGGCCTCCACTGCTTTAACACACTACTAGTTAGATTCTCTGGAAATACTCCTTACCTTAAAAAAGGATTTATTTTTCCCGGGAATTCTGTTAAGAAGCCTCTCAACTGTTGACTGGGTTCTCAGGTCAAGCCACACTACAAGTGAAATAGCAGAAAAGATTTGTACCAGGATAATCATTTTCTTTTTAAGTACCCAAACACACTGTCGCTTCAGGTACAATATTATAATTTTTAAGATCACAAAACTGAAAATATTCAAGAAGTTTATTAATTTTTTTTTAAAAGTTGACAGAAAAGAACTCATCATAAGCATGTTTCTATATCACTTAAAGACCTAAATAAGTACAAGGCTTGCATTCTATTTTGAAGAACAACTTATTGGGTAGAAGTTTCTACACAGACTATGAAAAATCTTTTTTTTTCACCCTCAAAGGTTAAACACGGAAGTTATAACACTCATATTACCACAAGACTAAATGTCATTCATTTAGAAAGCTTAAAAACAAACACCAGGTTTATTTATTTACTACTGCTGTGAATACTCTGAACTATAACAACAGACAGCAATAAAGAGGGTGTATCTGTATGTGAAATGAATGCACAGCAATAAACTCAAGAGCTGTTTCAGCCAGAGTCAACTGCTCCCAGGCACAACATCTACCCCTGTGCCCAGGACAGCAGCACTTTGAGCTGGGGCAGAGCAGCTCTGGGCTGGCAGCAGACTCAGGAGGGGTCAAACCTCAGGCTCTGGGTGGTGGTGTTGGGACTGGCTGGGGCACAAGGGTGTTAAAGTGCAGGGCTAGGTGGCAGGCAGTCCCTGCACTTTAGCACCCCCATGTCCCAGCCAGCCCCTATCACCATCTACCTGTGCGTTTCAGTGCATGCAGTACATGACTCAGCCGTAAGACAGTACTGTCCCTGACACTACTGTCTTATGATGGAGTTAAATTTACTGCTTCCTAATACCAGCATGCGTGTAGATGGTGATGCTTTATTGAGGACCTAATTAGTCAACTTTGCAGTGTAGATGCACCCACACCCAGAGCTACTGATTTACACAGAATGAAGTTGTAAAGATCACAGTCTTAAAATTTAAACACACAGAAAGCTATTTTAAAAAGACAGAAAACCTCTAAGCCTAAAAGCTTAAAAAACCCTAAAGGCAGTGTCTCATTCAAGTTCCTGAAGGCTCTTTGAAAGCTTTCAATTAATGGAAAAAAGTCAGACAAGTCACTCAGATCTCTGGAAGATGCACACAAATGCTGAAGGATATTCTGTAGCAGGGGATGGCAACCCCTGGCACATGTACCAGAGCATTTCACATGGAGCCATTTTGCTCAGCATGCCACAGACAGCCCCAGCTCTGGAAAGGCCCGTGCTGCCAGTAATGAAGCCTGGGCTGCTTGCAGTAGTTGGTGGGGAGGCTGTAAACCTTACTGTGAGTAGCCTGGGCTCTGTGGTGCGTGGCAGGGGCCTGCCCAGAGCCCAGGCTACTCGCAGCAGGCAGCCACGAGCCTGCAAGCAGCTGTACCAGGGTTGGCAGCCCTGGCCTGGCTTGCTGCCGGCAGCAGCTGCACACGTGCCTTGGGGAGCACAGCGGGGAAGGGGCTGGGGCTGCACTCTACCGCCGGGGGCTAAGTGCCCGCAAAGTCTGGCATCTCTGCGGAGGGCAGAGCTGGGGGGCTAAGGGGGCCATATCCCCATCCTGCTAGGCCTGGCTGTGAAGGGCAGGGTGAACTGAGTGCAGCAGCCCCACGCAGGAGGGCTCCAGCAGGGCAGCTCTGGGCCTCGCCGTCTCTATCTGTGTCTCCCCCTTGCAGAGCTCATCCATGTGGTGGCCAAAGGAGCCACTGCTCATTTAAAGGTGTTTCCTCCCTTCCAGCAGAGAACTTCATCTGGCCTGTGTTGTCTGGGGTTGCCTTCTCTCTCCATCCCCTGAGTCAAAGGGTCCCAGGAGCTGGGAGTGGATTCTAGCAGCAGCTGTGCTGAAGCTGCTGTGCTATTGGTTAATTGTTTAACTAATATAATTAAAGGAGGTTAAACAACTATTTTTAAATGATGTTTACATCCCTAATATGGATTCTAATAGGCTATACACAGTTGGACACCAAAATATTTACCAATAGCATTGTACAGAGGTTCTCCAGTTGTCTTGTCCCAAACCACAGTTGTCTCCCTCTGATTGCTGACTCCAATAGCTTAATGGATAAAAACAAAGAAGTGAACTTTTTTAGAGAGATTCATTCTGGAGCTAGAGAAGAGGTAAATGAATGGATAATTAAAAAGCTTCCACCATAAGTAGTTTCTATTCTGGTAGTATATTTTTATATCTTCCATTTGTTTATGATTTTGAATATTCTACATCTCATTCTTTCATACTGTCATGCAGTAGAAAGGAACTATATTTTGAAATAACAAGTTTCATCAATTAGTTGCTTAATCTTGTGCAATGCCTGAGGAGAACAAATTTAGTCTGTATATCCAGCCAGACAATACCCTACTAATAAGCACCAACAATCTCTTCTCTTTTTTCCCCACTATTCAGAATTGTTTTGGGAGTGTGACCCGAGACCTGAACCTGCCACTTTTCTACATACTAACTCAGTAGTTTCAAATTTCCTCACTGCAGAACCCTTTTATATCACTTCTGCTGCAGAACTCCTACCCCTAGGTCTGCAGGCCACATGGGCTGATGCAGAACCAGGTGACCCAGTGGGGTGATGACAACACAAGTCACCCCATTCCTCCATTACCCCCAATCTCTTTGCAAACCTTTAACAACCTCTCACAGAACCCTGGGGTCCTGCAGAACATAGTTTGAAAACCACTAAACAAACTGCATTCCTATATGACCCTCCAGTCCCCGAAAAGCAGACACATAAAACTTCAGTAGTACCTTTTATGTTGGTAATATCTATGTTCAGCTGTTTCAATTTCTCACATGTTCTCTCCACACATTCATGGACTGACTGCAAGATTTCTTTTGGATCTTGCTCCACCCACCTTTAAAAAAATATTAGACAGCAGTCAAAGCACAGGCAAAAATTTAAGACAGCCATTACATCTATGGAAATACATACAAATATTTTATGAGAACATTACAGAAAGTCACAAGTGAAATAATCAAAACAATATTAACTCTTGGCTAATCTCTAGTCAACTTGTTTTCCTTTCATGACAGAATGACTAAGCACATCCTGTATAAGTAGAAAATGTCTGATTAAAGTTAAAACCTTTTCTGTTTTGTTAAGTCGGAGTCCATTTTCACAACACGTGTATCTGCAAACAAATACATAATTTTCTTGCTATAATACAGTGGAAAAAGATGATCCAAGGATTATATTCAATGACTTGTGTACAGTAGATTTAGCAATAGTAAATGAAGCTGAAGAATGTGGATAAATCAAGGGAATGGCTAACTTTAGCTACTTTCAATGAAACTGGAGGGTGATAGTAACAGGTCAAACTTTCATAAACAAACACAGTCTCAGAAGCTTAACCTTGGTGCACATCCCTGATGGCTCCAAAATTCTTCTTTGATGGCTCCAAAAATCCTCTACCACATGAAACAATTAATACCAAAAACATTTTTAAAATAAATGCATCACACTAAAACATATGCAAATAAATGCGTAAGTATATGGAATCATACCCTTCTTTAGGGAACTTCTGTTGTATTTCTACTTGATGGTGGCTCAGGAGCTCTGCAGTTTTTGCATTAAAAACCTGAAAATAGATAATATGGATAAAATCAAACAATGGCAGAACAAACATATGATGCATGTCTATTAGCGATAATAAGCCTATGTGTAAAAAGTGATATTAGAAAACTTCTTACCTTCACCAATAAAATTAATCCCATAGAAAAAGTCAAAAGTACATAAAAAACCTGATCTTACAACTCCTCTCTAATCAAAAAAACCTGATGTCACTATTTTGATAATGACTTTGATTACAGCTTGGCTTAAACCCTTAAAACAAACAAACAAACAAACAAACAAGCTAATGTGTAACTATAAAATAATCCACCTGCCCAGATATCCAGATTCCTGGTTACTGATGATTTTTTAGATCTGACACTAGCAGTCCTGCACCACAGCTGGCATTTGAAACCTGGAAACAGCAATTCCTAGATTTTTCCACGTTGCAAAGGATTCCCATTAAGAACCACAGGAGTTTTTTTTAATATGCATTTGTGTCAGAGAGCCACAGGCAGAGACACTTGAGAAAACTTCTGGGAATTTTCTTGGACATTTGATGAGGGCTAGGTGGTAGTCCAAAAGTAGGGTAAAGATTTTTGAGGATTTTTGTCAGTTTTGTTTTACCATATTCTGTCATCAAATCATTTGATCATTTTTTCTCTCTGTGTAGCTAAACCCTTTGTTTTTTTCTGTTAAGTGCTTGTGATAAATTGTGATTTCTAGGCAAATTAATAACCTGAGCATACCCATTCAGTGGAGTGGGGGGACCAGTAAGCTTATACAAACCCATGGTGTATCTCTGGCAGCATCCTGACACCGCAGAGTTGTCACATCTTGAACCATTTTAAATTAAATCAGTTTCACAGACTGACTAGTCTACATTAGTCTGATCAGAAGTTGAAGTGATTGATAAGAGCTTCCTATCCTTGCAGACTGGTGCACATCTGACTTTATTACGTTTTCCTATCTTTTTATTCTTTTTTTAAAACCTAAGCTTTATTTTTCAAAAAGTGTGGACAGTCTTTCCTTTGGAAGAGAGAAAGAAAAACTGGAGAAGGAAATGTAGATTAGAAACTGTAGTAGTGAGCAAACTGGAGGAAGAGGCAGCCTTTTCCAAATGCCCATGGGCCGATTCCATGACAAGCGTGTCCAGAAGAAACTTACTATAACGACAGAGAAGACTGCTGTGATCAGGCTCTCTGATAACAACAGCAAGTAGGTACAGGGCAGGCAGACTGGCTGCACTTGGTGCTCCTAAAGAGCTTCTGCAACAGCTCTATCAACCATGCACAAGCAAAGGCTAAGTGAAGGCAGCAGCAACAACCTGTAAGTCCAAAGCGTACAAGTAGGGGTGCACAGATATATCGGTTGGCTATCGGATCAGCACTGATAAAACGAGAAATTACATTATCGGCTTTTTTTGGTCGTTGTAGCCAGTAATTATAGCTGCATGCCCAGAACACCCTAAGCGTAGTGCGGTCCCTGTGCCCCACTGCCAGCCCAAGCCTGCGGCAGACTACAGGTCCTGCAGCAGGAGGGGGAAAAGGGCACTGTGGCTCCAAACATGCCTGGCACCGCTGTCCACATGAGGGCCCACCCCACCTGCCCAGGACAGTAGCATGGGTTGTGCAGGGAGCAGGGCTGTGGGAAGGAACCATGGGAGAGGGGGCAACATGTGTGGGAATAAGGTGGTCATCGCCTTCTTCAGAAGGCCGGAGCAGGCAGGAGGCATGCGACTGTGTTTGTGTTATAAATGCAAAACAAACTGAAAAAACAGTTACAGTAAAAGCCACATTATCTGGCACCTTAGAAACCAGCATGCTCCATTAACCGGTATGCCAGCATTTTATTTTTAGCAAGTTTTTGTTTTGTTTTCCCCATGGATTTTGCAGAAATCGCCCAATTTCTGTGAAATAGCAATTTGAATAGGTCTCTATATATAACCCTTTATAAAATAAGAACAGCAAATTTAGTTTAAAATGACTGTTTCCTAATCAAGTTGAATTCCTAGCCATGCAAGTGGTAAAATACTTATAAGTGCACTGTCTAGAGTCATAAAATGTAAAAGGTCAAAAATTCACGTGTGCCATTATACCTACCAAAAAGTACCAGTTGAAAAGCACCTGACAAGGGGAAAACAATTACATGCATTCGCTGGGGGTGGGGGTAGGGTGAAAGAGTACCAAAAGTATCATTATTTGCATCCTTTTCCACTTCTTCTAGTCAGTATTTGTTCCATCTGTTGAGTGTCAACATTAAACTAAACTGGAAACTCAATTAGGTTAGGGATTGTCTATAATAG